TTCTTGAAGTTCTTCCAAGTTTTGCAACTGCACAAATGTACAAATTGTGATATTACTGATATATTGTAATAAAGTTCCTTGAGTTGTACATGTACGAAGTATTTCTTCTTGTCTATAGGAAGATATAAAAGTCAAAGAACAAAAAGCACAAATAATTTTGAATTGAAGTGAAGACTACTTGGTACTACTCCGTACTTTTGTTTCATATTTTGACTTTGACCCTATGTATTCATCAAATCTACTAAGGATCTATTCTGGTTGGTTAAATTGAGCTGAACTGAACTAGGGATGACAATGGGGCGGGTCGGATGCGGATGATGATACCTCCATACCCATATCCGCCTAAAAATCTTATACCCATCATCCCCGTCCCACCACCCATGGCGGGTACAATATCCACATCCATACCCGCCCCACTGAATGGGTACAAGATAGGATTCATCCCCGCCCCATCACCCACTTGGATATTCATACCCACCTCATACCCTCCCCAAAATCGTCCCAAACCCTTTGCCATGATGCTCTATTGTATAACATTAATGACGATTATATCAAATTAGGTTAAGAAAATTGGGACTTTCACTATATATTCAAGCTTATTGGGTCTTAGGGGGTATCAACTTTCATAAATTCTCAACTCTCCTAAAAGAAATATGGTACGGGTATAAGGTGGGTACGGGGCGGAGCGGATATGGGGCGGGTCTACTCTAACATCCATACCCGTCCCATCACCCATGGCGGCGGATACACACTTTATACCCATCCCCGCCCCATCACTCGCCAAACCTCCTTCCATCCTCGCCCCACTTGGACGGGGATGGGGCGGGTCTCCCATTTAACCCGACCCACTGACATCCCTAAACTGAACTGAACTTATTGAAGCTGAACTAAACTTAATATTATATGAGAGAAGGAAATTAAGAACTGAACTAATTAAACTAAATTGAACCGAACTTATTAGAGTTGAACTGAACTGAAAAATAAGCTGAACTGAACATGCCCTAAGATTATATTTTGTCATTTAGGTTCTGTTCTGTGTTGTTCACCTTATTTCCACTTATTTCAGGGTTAATAAGATCAGATAAGTTCAGATAAGGGTTAAAAATTTCAAATAAGATAAGTTCAGGTTAAACCAACAAGTCATAAATTAACCAAAGATGGATTAATAATGAAATAATAATTAATACTCTATTAATATAACCGTTAACATATTTCAATTAATGCACGCATCATATATATTCAGACAACAAAATAACTTGCCTTATGATTCTTGAGCAATGGATGACTAAACGCCGGTTGTTTGTAAAAGTCTACACAGTCATACACACCATGTTTTGTCTATCGAAGAAAAAAGAGTTAATAAGAACAAATTGATTCTATATATACATATATAAAGATAACTACGGACTGGAAGAGATTGAATTCTAAAGTACATATGTACCTGGATAGTCTTCTTCACTTCTTGTTGGTCAGAGAATGCTGTGCTGCATAATCCACACAAAACTAATAAAGAGAAAATCACTAAAAATGATGTTGAAGAAGTCATTCTTCCTAACTCCACCACTAACTTTTGTTGTCCTAGAAATGAGTTATGATGCTATAGTAGAGAAGTAAGATATCAATTATATATAAGTAACATAAGATCACAAAATTAGTAAAGAAATCAAGTGTATGATCATTGATTGGCTTAGTAGAAACATTACCAAAAATATGGTACCACTTAAATGGTAACATATCATGATATAATTTATTATATGTTGAATGTTGACTAGACTATCTTATGTCACATGTGTTATAATAGTAAGACCCTGTTCTGATACAATTATTTTCAGTTCAGTTCAATTCAGTTCAGTTCAATTCAGCTCTAATAGGTTCAGATCAGTTCAATTCAGTTCAGCTCAGCTCTAATAAGTTTAGTTCAGTTCAGTTCAACTCCTAATTTCCTTCTCTTATAAAATATTCAGTTCAGTTCAATTCAGTTCAATTTAGTTTAGTTTAGTTCAATTCAGTTCAGTTCAGCTCAGTTCAGTCAATGAGAACAAGCCTTAAGTGTAGGCGCTAGATGAGTGGTCCTTAGCATAAGTGAATATACTTATTAGCGTATAACAATTAGTGGATATGATATAATACGATTAGGGACAAATGATAAAGTAGTGAGCTGCTAATAAGTTTTTAACGTAACTTGTAAACCGTTAGTGGATCATTGTACGAAGAGACAAAGATAACCAAGCACGATAGATTAGGGGTGAATCCGAAAGGTAACACAAATTGTTCCACATTTCCACTCTTACAACTTACCTAGCCTTCGAGAGATTGTTGACATGGGAATTTGGGAATGAAGGTATGAAATTAATCATAAGGATCAATTCCACCAGTATTGCCCCTCTACTAAGTTCTTAATATGATATATAAAATTTGTGATTCAAAAGGATACCCACAAATAAATATTCAATTCGTTCCAAATTAAATTGTACAATAAACTGGTTGAATATTATAATTGCTAAATTATGATCACTTTATCAAACATCATAATATCGGAATCCTAACCGATTGTTCAAATTATCATATTATTTGTGATTTATAACCATTCTTATTTAACCATATATGCAACAAGGTGAACAAAATAATAATAAAGCAATAAAATAAAACATGCATACTAAAAAAATTTGAAGCATGCAATTAAGCAGTATCAACAATTGAAGGAGTACATATTTCGATTGCACAAGTTGAAGATTATTGAGCAAAGTAGGGCAAATCGGAGATTTTTAAAATTTTTATTTATGTTTCATTTGCTTCAATTGAGCAAAGTACTATCGGTACTTAGCTCACTTGGGGGGCAAATCAGAGATTTTTTAAATATTATGTGCTTCATTTGGTATATTGCAAATTTTCAAGTTCGAATAATACATCAAGATTTCATTTACATACAAATACAAAAGTGAGAACATCGGTTTTACCAACGTCCTCACTTGGGGGGCTAGTTGTACGGGATAATACCGACAGTAGTGTAAATAGGCCGAAAGTTAAATCTTGCCCGTGCCTATTTAGTTGAACTCGAACATCCTTAACGGCTCTCCCCTCGGCCACGTGGAGAGCTGCTTCCGGCCACGTTGGCACCTGCTACGTTTAAGGTCGGTTTGCCACCTAACGTCATAAGGTGGCACCAGCTTGGTTTTTCCCCTATATATACCCAGGCGCATTCTCACAACAAAGGTACAATCTTTTGATCTATCTCTCTCTCTCTTTCTCTCTAAGCACCTTCTCTCTTTTCATTCTTGCTTCTCCAGATTACTGACTTTAGCATCAGAGCGGTTATTCCCGGATAACCCCCCGGGCTAGTTAATCTGTGCTGACTGTGCAGGCAGCGAATTGGACGATAAACCTTTACCAACCCCAGGACATCACGGTATCGGAGCTCATCCGGAACAATTATATCATGAATAAATTCTTCAAAAGGGGATTTTTCCCCCCAACTTTTTAGACCACAAATATTATTATTTTTTTTATATTTTTTAATTCTTTTTATTTTTGCAATCTCATTTAGTAGTCATTTAGAATTAGATAATTCAAGTACCACCCAAAATTAATTTAACCAATGATTTTTGAGATTTTAAAGTAATCAAAAAATAAAATATTAATTTTGATATTAGAAATTTTATCAATATACTAATGAATGAGAAAAAAAAATTACAATCCATTTTATAATAACCATTCAAGTAATAAACAACAAATAAAATCATAAAATTTATTATACAAATCCATAAGATGTTTGATTAAAAACAAAATATGAGCAAACCATGTAGCGCACAGATTTATATCAAGTGCATCCTTTGTTTAAGAATATGTTCAGATAAGGAAAAAAAAAATGAATAAAATAAACCCTTAGTAGTCATCTCTTGATTACGTATGAGGGAATTTGATAGTCGATACCTCGAATTTTACAAATTTTTAGATTGAACCTTTGCTCAACATGATCTTACCAAGTTACCATTAGTATTATTCACTTCGTATTTTATTACTTACTCCATCTCTCTATGTACGGAGTTTTAAAAGAAATAGTATAAAATAATAAAAATAAAGGAAGTGGAGTTGATGAAAGAATAAAGTAGACTTATATGGTACCGTAATTGGGAGGATAGAGAATATGGAAATATTAAAGTATGGTAGTTGGGGTCCACTATGAGAGAAAATTTTAGGGCTTGTTCACTTCAGCTTAATTTCAATTTAGTTTAATTCAGCTCCAATCAGTTCAGTTCAGCTCCAATCAGTTCATTTCAACTGCAATTAATAAGTTTAGTTTAGTTCAGTTCAGCTCCTAATTTTCTTTTCTCATAAAATATTCATTTCAGCTCTATTCATCACAATTCAGTTCAGTTTAATTCAGTTCAGCTCCAATCAATTCAATTCAATTAATGTGAACAGACCCTTAGTACACTCTCCGTTTCGTAATAATCACAACACTTTTGTTTTATGTCCTTTTCATTGTAATTGCAACATTTTCTAATATGGTAATAATCCATTATTATTTTTATTATTTATCTCTCCTACTAACCCCACTTTCACAAGTCTTCTATATTCTATACTAAAGTATTCCCCAAAAATATCCCTAGCACCTCATAAAAAAATTTCATGCCCTAAAACTTTTTTTTTCCAGTAAAAATAATAAGATAATAATTGATAAAAAAAAAAGGAAAGAGATTTTACAGCCTAAATAATAGAACAATAACAATTTGAAATACATAAAATATAAATGTATACAAAATTTAAAAACAAATACAAACTTATAGCAATATATAAATATAATTTTTTCCCCTCTAAATATCCGAGCATTGCTTCTCATAAAAAATTTTCCCGCCCAATTTTATTTTATTTTTTTTTAAAAAATAATAAGATAATTGATAAAAAAAAATAGCCTAAATAAGAACAATAACAATTTGAAATACATAAAATATAAATATAAAAAATTATAAACAAATACAAACTTATAGTAATATATAAATATAATTTTTTCCCCTCTAAATATCCGAGCATTTCTCGGGCAAAGAACTAGTATTTTATTATTTATCTTTTTTACCAATCCTACTTACACTACTTTATTATTATTCTCCCATACTGATTATACTTTTTTTTTTTTTATTAAAGCATACAAACTTATTTACTCTATATCTTTCTTTTTTGATAGAAACTCTATATCTTTCTTAAACTATGAAACTATGTCCACTCCTTATGATTACGACTATTGCGAAATCGACGAAGTAAAATATTGTGAGTTAAAAAAAATGAAACAAGTAATAAAATATGGCCGCAAAATAAAAGTAGAAAAGGTAATAAATACGGAGGCGGAACGTACTTTTAATTAACTTTATTGAATTGATTGATATGTTAACACATAATTCATTAATGTTGTACTAAATATTTGGTGTATTGCTTTTAAAAGCATTAGCAACACCAACTCTACAATCAATAATCATGGTTACATTAATTAATTTAACAACTTTGATGAGAGTAAGAGATAGCTCAATTGGTTAGAGCTTCCTTTCCGGTTGCAGAGGTTCTTGAGACCGATCGATTCTCCATATCCGCCCTGCTTACCTCTAAACAAAATAAAAAAAAAATAGTAATTAAACAACTCTAGATGATTTTACAAAAACTCTAAAAACATGGTAGGCTCTCATACCTCATTAAAACCTCCATACAACATGAGACGACCAAATTCTTCAGTTTTCCAACCAGCATCTTTAACAGTATACGATGCTTCACAATCCCAAACTTTATGAGTGTCTTCGGGATTTAACACATTCGTATAATTCCAGTCGACATAAGAAGCATGCATAATGGATGCTGTATAGAAAGGGTTGTAGAGTGCCTTCTTCCCATTGCCCATCTCAGGTGGTGGAAAACTTTGTTTGGGATTTGAAATTTCACCTCCCCATTCTACTTGGCTAAAATAATCCGGAAAAGAAAATAATTCTTTTGGATAATATCCAATTACTTTTTTTATATCAGTAATTATTGATACCCAATAATGTTTGTCATCTTCATGCTATACATACCCTCACAAAACAATACAAACACAAATGTTAATACCATCAAAAGTATTGATTGTACCCATGCTATAAAAGGATGCTAGTTCAGATAAGTTATGATAAGGTCAGATTTATTAATTCTTAGGGATAATACTATACGGTTCCATAATCTTTTGTTGTATATGTTGGTGTAAATTAATTTTTTTTTAAGGTAAGAAAAAGGAAAGAATTAGGACCCCCTCCTCACGAGGGGCGTTGGTGTAAATTAATTGGAACAACAAAAACATACAATGGATCTAGGCGTGTACGAGGAACACTTTCCTAAAAACGTTATTCGCCCATCGTACTATCAAGGCTATGATGAACACGTTTTTGGGAAACCGATAAAAATAAATTATCGTATTTTCGTGTCCGTGTCAGGTGGCCAAGTGCTAAGTCTTTGATTATAAATATATATAAGCCATTTAGCCTACTTGTCCAAAACATCACTTAGCCCATTTCATAACTCATACCCAATTGTTTACAATATAAACAATACATCACCTTCTTATTCTTTCCATGTGGGATAGCCTCCCACAAATAACATAATTATTGCAAAATATTCCAACAATATATATATTAAAGAATCACGAAGTAATATAAATCTTTAAACCATTTACTCCCATCCATTTTTTTTAATTGGTACAGTTTGACTTTGTTTACTACTCACATAATAATTTTGACTTAATTTTGTTACCACTGAGTTATATATAATGAATGCTATTATATACAAGTGTAAGAGAATTGAGCTCGTGGTTAAATTTCTGACTTAAATGTCATAATTCCCACAATAAGTAAATTAATTCATAATGGACAACAGCAAATGTAATTAGAGAATTTGTAGTTTTCTACTTCTTTTAAATATTTTTAAGAAACTATTTAATACTCCTAATACTCCTTCCGTTTTAATATGCTTTACTTTTATGGATGTTAGTTAATACACTTATAACTTACTATAATGTTTATTTTCACCTTTATTTTTTCTCTATTCCAAATCTAAATGCATTTTTCGGTAATGGTGAAGAGAAGTTTGCCAAAAAAAAAAAAAAAAAAAAAAAGAAAAATAATGGACATTGTATTTTAAACATGTGTAATTTAAAATAAAAAAATTCGCCATTTATTCCCTTAAAATTTTCCCATTTTCTTTTGACACATATTACAATTGACATCTTAACTGTCAATATATATCTCTAAGCTAATTACATTTTTAAAAAAAATATTAAATTTTGATAGTTAAAAGAACTCATCAAAATGAATCAAACAAGACCTTATTTGACTGTGTTTAATTCTCTTATATATTGAAAAAAGGATTCTTCTAATTTGCGAATGCTTGAATTTTAAATAGGAAAAACTTTCATAAACAAAAGGAACAAATAATTATTTTTTATATCATTGTATTAAAGAATAGTCTTGGATCGCCTTGTACCTTGTCAATTGATAAGTGCCAACCATATTGTGTTCCTCCATATTCGGAGTAGTTAGCTGGGGATATGCCCAAAGGCACGTCTTTAGCCACTTGAACAAAGCCTGGACATAGAAGATTTATACATCCTTCTTGTCTAGCCTGTCAAAGTTTTTTTGTCACATAAATTATAAGAATATATACAAAATTCAAAATACTATCTCTGATATGAAACATTCACAACATGATTATGTGCATGTAGGCACATTTATACATAACACACTATTAATGTGTTACGGAGTAAAAGACTTTAGCCACTTAATAGGCCAATGTATCATAATGGTATATGATCCTATTTATTATGATAAGAATGCTTACGAGTGCCACAAAACTTGCATACAAATGTGCTTCATTATCCTGGAATACATCAGGATTTACCTGAAATTGAACATATTGACACCCAAGTAAAATGGTCATACGTATTGTGTAATAATTTGCGACCAATTTTTTAAAATTCTAATTAGAATATGCGTCTTACCATCCATCCGACTTCAATATTATCATTCTGATTTAAAATCTTGATTCGTGTTGAAGACCATTGATTAGGGTACACTATAGGTTTATAATTTTCGAGTTCACCAGCAACTCCCAAAAATTTCCGCTCTTCAGGGTTATTTGTATGAACTAAAGCAACCTACACCAAATACCAATCAATATCAATTACTACCACTATTTGGTGTAATTATCATATTATCTTAAATAGTATGTCAATACATACATAAACACATGTGACACAATTTGAGTTACCTTTCAAGAATAGATATATGGCATACTCTAGTTTCTTTTTATTTAACAAGAATATATCAAACAATATTAAAACTTACACAATGTGTATCAGGAATACCACGCTGAATTTTGAAGACGTTGGAATTTGGATTAGATCTTAAGATGGGAACAGTTTTTAAAGGGCAACCACCATCTTTAAGTTCAATGCCATCACTTTTTTGTTCTTGAAGTTCTTCCAAGTTTTGCAACTGCACAAATGTACAAATTGATCATTGACTTGTATGAAGTATTTCTTTTTGTCTATAGGTGGATACCAAAAAAAATAAAAATAAAAATAAATAAACCACACACAAATTAATTTTGTAGACTACTATGTAGCAATTAAGACTTACATACTTCCTCTGTTTGATTACACTTTGTCATTGTCATTTATAAGTACAATAAAAAATAGTTATGTGAACACTTATTAAACACAAGAAGGAAGTATATGATATTACCTTTGTTTCAATTTATAGCATATTATCTGTACACCTGGGTAATTTACTTATTAATTTTTGCTCATTTAATAAATGAGTAAAAAATATTCTCATTTATTGAATGAGCAAAAATTAATGAGTAAATTACCCGGGTGTACCGAATTCTGCTCATTTATTGAATGATAAAAAATTAATGAGTAAATTACCTGGGTGTATATAACCAATTCTAGTTTCATTGCAACTATTTGACAAGTGAATAAAAATGTCTAATCGTTGCAAATAATGCGTAATAGAGGTAGTATATTTTTTATAATATTAACGTTTTATAATTTTTTACTTATTGATAATTAGGGATATTATCATTAAATATTGTCTTGGCAAACATTATAATAAAGAAATCTATCAACTAAAAAAACAGAGGAAATATATATAAGGAATAATTTGCCAATTACTACCGCAAGTTAATACCACTTTGTAAATTACTACCGCAAATCAAAAAAGTTGTGAATTACTACCGCAAAATTTTTTAAGATGTTGCGATTACTACCAAACCTCCATTAAACCCAACTATGACGTCATTATATCCCTTTAACCCATGTTTGACCATGGTTAAGGGCTTTAACCAGCCCCCCCCCCCCCCTCCCAAAAAAAAAAATGGGTTAGGGATATAATGACGTCATGGTTAAGGGCTTTAACCCATGTTTGACCATGGTTAAGAGCTTTAACCATGGGTTAAAGTGATATAATGACGTCATAGTTGGGTTTAATGGGGGTTTGGTAGTAATCGCCACATCTTAAAAAATTTTGCGGTAGTAATTCACAACTTTTTTAATTTACGGTAGTAATTTACAAAGTGGTATTAACTTGCGGTAGTAATTGACAAATTTTCCATGTATAAGTTAGCACTCCGTATTATTCACAAAGCATGAAACCAAACTCCCTACTAAATTCATTCCTCAATAATTAACGCATTCAAATGTGACACACATATTAATTTAATGCACTACTTTAAAATCATGTTTAAAGTTAGTATTTAACGACACATTTCAAGAAAAAATAGTTTTTGTCCTTTTTGATTACAATATAAAAAGATCTTGGTCAAATTTAGTATGAATATAATGTTAACGTATATATTCATAAAACAAAATAACTTACCTTATATGCATGATTCTTGAGCAATGGATGACTAAACGCCGGTTGTTTGTAAAAATCTACACAATCATACACCCCATGTTTTGTCTATCGAAAGAAAAAGAGTTAAGAACAAATTAATTCCAGTTATATAAAAAGAACTATATTTTGAAATAGATTGAATTCTAGAGTACGAACCTGGATAGTCTTCTTTACTTCTTGTTGGTTAGAGAATGTTGTGCCGCATAATCCAAACAAAATCGCAGAAAAAATCACTAAAAATAATGTTGAAGAAGCCATTATTCCTAACTCCACCACTTACTTTGGTTGTTCTAACTGAGTAACAGTGCTTTATAATAGTAGATTGAGAACTAGGATATCAATTATAATTGTATGTATAAGATCACAAAATTAGTAAAGAAATCAAGAGCATGGTCATTGATTGGCTTAGGAGAAACATTACCAAAAAAATTAGAATTATTGATGTTAAATCACACTAACTAAAATGGTAACATATCATGATATCATTTATTATATGTTGAATGTTGACTACACTATCTTATATCACACATTCACATATTAGCGCTTGATTGGTTGGTCAACCTTAGCATATTTGAATATGTTTAGCAACGTATAAGAATTAGTGAATTTGACATAATATAATTAGGAACAAAGAATAAAGTAGTAAGTTGTTAACAAGTCTTTACCATAACTTGTAAACCGTTAATTGATGAATGAAGGAATACATTAATTAATTAAGCAAACAATAAATTTGCTTGTGTGTTAAGATCACTATATGAAGGGATAATACATTAATTGATTGACCCTAGGGGTTAATTTCACCCATATTGGCTTCTATTTAGCTCTTATAATGATATATAATAAGTAATTTAAAAAGATACACACAAGTAAATATTCAATTTGTTCCAAATTAAATTATACCAAATTGGTTAAATATTATTATAATTTCTAATATATTCCTTAAAAAAAATAAAAAATAAAAAAAAATAAAAATAAAAAAGTCTAAAATATTATTCTTTCACAAATTGTATGATTATGCCTGAATACTTGAATATGTCATTTGGTTATTTTGTGGCTTTCTACTAAAGCTCACCATGGTCCATCTAAGCTGAACTGCGAAAACATTAGGCCCGTTTCAGCCCGAGGGACCAGTCAGGTCAGCTCGTACTTCCTTCGTCTCCGAAACTTTGACTTTTTGAGTTGATTTCGGGATTATTAAGAAACTTAAATAAAAACAAATAAAAGCATATTGGAAAGATAAATTTACATGGGGTTTGTAAAAAAGTAGAGGGATAAAGTATTAAAAATACAAGAAAAAACAAAATTGTATATGGGGAAGCTGATTTTGCACAAATATTGTTGTAAATTAATGAGTATTTTAATGCAAATGAGTCGATCATTTTGAGACTAAAATTAGGCTAAAAGGGTCGAAGTTTTGAGGATGGAGGGAAAACTATCCATAGGGAATACAGGGTTCAATTAAAAGTAACACCTCTATCTTGTTATCGAATGACCCTAAGGTTTTACGTTACTCATTAGATCAGTTTTGTTCATTAAAAAAAACTGACATGGACAAACCTAGGGGTGCTAATCAAGTTGTGCAACTCGTGAACTACTCGGACTCAACTCGGTCAAAACTCGGCTCGAGTTGGCTCAACTCAAATTCGACTCGACTCGAGATGTTAACGAGCACGAGTTGAGCATGCTCTAACTCGACTCAATAAGCGCGTGAGCAAATCGATAATATATTTTATTAATATAGAATTCACAAACAAAGCTATTTATATTATCCAAAAAAGAAAGAGTATATCTTTAATAATAAATAAAACAATTATTGCTATATAAAGTGAACAAAAACAATAAAAACCTATCATTTTAGAAGGGCTAAAGATTTAACGAGTAGATCGTGAGCAACTCGACTCGACTTGAAACTTTAACGAGCACGAGTCGAACAAAAATTATTGACTCAAAACTTTAACAAATACGAGTTAAGCACATGAAAAAAAATTTCGAGTTGAGTCGAGCACTCCTTAGCTTGTGATCGACTCACTCGATTAACACTCCTAGATAAACCTAATGCTAAGCGTATCTAGAAACAACTAAGAATTTGTAATGAAATGACTGTGCAGTGTGCTCACATCTCTACACATCCTAAATTAGTTAAGCACTTCCAATGTCACACGACAATTGGTGAGATCTAGGAAAGAGTGAAAGACGGTATAATTTCTATCCCCCCTAATTAGTTAAGAACAGGAACAAATTGTTAACAAAAGATGCACGACTATAAATTGAAGTGGCTGTTAACAATCTCAATTCTTAAACACAGTAGTACTATAGCAACAAACAAGGCCACGAATTTGGTACCATTAAACTAGATTGTCAACAAAGTTTACAGGCAGCAACATTCCTTGTAAAATTGTATTGCCGCGCTATCTATCACTTTCAGCTGCCATATCAGGTCAGGGTAGGATACATAAAGCATCATGGTAGGCAGTACAGAACCAAAGAATAACGCAGATTGTAATGTATGAACATGGAGTTTTGATAGGATTTGAAACAAGGATCCCGTATATGTGAAAATTTCAAGAGATTATTTGTTCCTTCTTATAAGTTTCAAAGATCCTTGCTAAAAGGATCAGAAGCAAGTAGCATTGGCTATAGGCGGAACCAAAAGTCCTCCAAAGTGAGGTTGGGGGTATCATAAGGGCACGACATTTAGATATTTCAGAAACAGAGATTGTCTGAAACACAAACTGCTAATGAAGCTGTTGAAAAGGCAACGAGGAATGACAAATGGTAGAGCTTCGGACATATCTTGCTCTGTGTTCAGCCCTAAGACGTCAACATGAAAAGGAGGAACAACACACACAAGCAGTTAGTTATCTTCATCAAAAAGCTAGGAATCCAAGAAGATTATGGAAAGCTTTCCTTCCAGAGCCATGTGCAGAAGTGCATGCTTCTACGGCAAAGAGTAAAATGGCTGTGCAAATGTGCCAAAGTTCAAGGGTGGATCCAGAAGAATTCACCAGGTCCACAGTCCACACACATGATACACAAATTACTGTACCTAGTAATGCAACAAATGCTATATCCTGAAAGCTTACTTCTGATATGCGGGTAATCCAAAAAAGGCGAGGAAATCTAGCAGGGAACCATTGCTTCGGGCAGGACTTAATAGCACTGAAGTACTTCAGTAAAGGCACTTAAGCTACAAATTTTCAGGAATAGATCAAACAATTGGGAAATTCACTTGTAAGAAATCACACACATAAAGAACAACTGAATAACAGAAAGCCATTGTAATAGACATCTAGTAGTTACAACGAACCCATTTGTAAGGCGGAAAAGACCTTGCAGTGATTTTGAAACAGAAAATCCTCAGTATTATTAAATCCACTCAATTAGTAAAAAAGAAGCAGTGAACTGTTGGAATAATTACAGACAAGACAATGAGTTCCTTGTGCCATGCCATGCCTACTTGCAGAATCACAATTCATATGTGAGATTTATTCACATTAAGAAAAAAGCCAGATATGCAAAGGAAGAAATGCAACGATTATATAACACAGTTAACACTGGTATAACAAAAGTGTCACTAAGGCTTTGTTCTCTTCGCCTTATTCTTATAACTTATGTTACTCTGTATAATCAAACTAGTTCAACCTATTATAATTTACAAAGATAACGAGTCAGGAAAGCTCAGCCAGTCACCGGAGTTCTTCAAAAGTTTCACAATCATATTCTGTAGGGAAAGAAGAGGCACCCTGTTAGGGTGGGAGAGAGAGGGGAGAGGGGAGGGGGGGGGTGGGGGTGGGGTGGGGGAACTAGAAAAGAACAGTTGTCCATTCAAGCCTGTGACTACATCATGCAGTACAGACAAACTTTAGGTAGCAGTATGGACTTAAAAATTGCAGAAAGTCTCACATAAAAGGTAGTAGGTCAAAAAAGGCACAAAACACATCTTGAACATGCATAACAAACCTAGACAGATGGTAATGTATGTTGGGCATTCAATAACCAACTATATTCATTGGCATTCAGCACTGAATTACTGATGTTTGTGAAAAAAAGATAAAAGGGCAAGAGAAAGATTTTGAAATGCAGTAAGTAAATTATATTATTACCTCAGAACCAGGTGTGTATTATAACCACTGTAGAACAGCATCTAATCATTTCATAGATAACTAATAAAAAAATGCGAATTTCTGACTACAACAAGAGCAAATAGTTTCACAAGCTCAACATTCTAACACCTTGCATAGATAGTAGCAAGAAGAAGAATATACATCACAGAGACAGAGAATAATTGTTCCAGAGTAAAAAGGAAGAGCCTTGCACCTAAAAAATGTGACCGCATACTGCACAAACGGCTACTCAACTACAAGAAGACAGGGAGAAAGAGCAATTCTAGATAAGCAACAATGATCCTTGATCATCACGACTACCTCAAAACCTGAAGAGAAGCAAAACACATATATGTAAGCACACACAGATAGGTAAATTCTGTTAAGTGTATACAGAGAAAGGAGATAACGCAAGCACCTAAAAAGAATCAGTAAGTACACTATCATCATCATCATCATCATATTCAGCATCTTCACTGGACCCACTAGGATCCTCAGCCGTAACAGTTTGGTCATCTGCATAAAACATTTCAAAGGAAAGTTAACTTCACAGCTTGCGTTCATAATTCAAAATAATTAAAAAAGAAATACTTACCGGTATTATCTTCTGCACTTAGCCAATCTTGAAGACATAATAAAGCTTGAAGTGTCTCAGGCATAACGGAACTTTGAACAGAAGACAAGGTTTTACTCCCATAGCTAAATGCCTCCTTGGCATTAACAGTGAAAACAGGTATAGATAGAATGTCACGTGCCATCAACGAGAGATTGGGATACCTCATTGAGCTTCTTCTCCAGAACTCCAGAACATCTAAGTCAGAATTTAATTCATAACTTGGCTCTTCCAAGTAAAGATCCAACTCAGACTTGTTCCCATGAGATCTTGATGTAGAGCTCAGAAACTGATCATAGTCTCCAAACATGTCTCCCTCGTCATCTCCACCAACAAAGTTTGTATTCATGCTAGAAGACCCCACAGCTGTAGAGGAAAAATGCATAGATCGTTGCTTATACTCAGCAAACAAACAGTAGAGAGTGCTTACAACTTTACTAACACGGTCCTCAAAATTTGCCGGGCCAAAAAGTTTCATATAGCAGTATTCCACAAATTTTACCTTGTACCGTGGATCTAAGATTGCAGCACAAGATAAAATCAAGCTATTCTCGCACCAGAAGTCATCGAATTTAGCTTGCATAGCTTGAACAGCATGAGCTAAGAATAGATTTGGACCTTTTACTATATCCATCATACGGCAATGAACCCTCAACATCCCCTTTATAAATAAATTTGCTGTAGGACCATTGGTGCCTGAAAACAAGCGAGTTACATCATAAAGAACCCTTAGGAATTTGTGAATAATGCTCAACTTTTGCCACTCTTCTTTAGAAAGAGCCAAGTTGCTTAGCTCTTGCTTTGAGTCCAAAAGATGCTTGAAGATACTCTTATAATAAAGGGTGCGGTCAATTAACTTATATGTGGAATTCCATCTTAGCATCACATCAAGGCTCAACCTTTTCCTCGCTTGCAAGTCAAACATCCTCTCAGCAAGATCAAAGAACTTCTTCCTCTGAAGCGGAGATTTGTTGACATATTTAACCAACTCCCGTACCCTATCAATAATATCTTCAACCAACTTTAAGGCAGATTGTGCAAGAAAGTTCAATATATGAGCATAACAATTAACTTGGAAAAAGGAACCACCACTAGCAGGAGAATTCTTCGTAAAAAGACCTCTTTTAATAGAAGAAACTGTTGACTCGTCATAAGAAGCTTCATCCACTGTGATGGTGAAGGTCTTACATTCAATGTTATATTGAGATGATAAACATGCCAATTCATCTGCAATGTAAGTTCCATCATATGGGGGTGCTAAAGCTTTAAAACACAAAACCCTCTTCAGCAACTTCCAATGCTCATCAATGAAATGTGTAGTTACACATATATACTCATCTTTTGTATCTCTTGCTTTCCAATTACCAACTGTCAAACATATGCGGCCTGGAGCCTTTGCTAACATTTCTTTTACGTTGTCCCTTTCCCTCATATACATAGAAAACATTTCTCTTCTTACAATCGCCCGACTGAATGGCTTAAATTGTGGACATGCTTTAGACATCATAGACCTAAACCCTCTCTCTTCCACAAAGCTAAATGGATGAGCACCTTTGATTATGCAGACTGATATATATCTTTGCAGCTCATCCTGATCAACCTGGCTATTTTCTGTGGATTTGCTTCCTTCAGCCAAATTGTCGCCAATTGTGGATAGGCGTTTCAATTTACCAGATGTAGGTTCATCTTTGGGGATCTTATCTAAACTGTTTCCTTCTATTAGCTTCTCATTTGAAAGGAAGTACTGTTCTATGTTACCAGTCAAAGTCACACGCCTTGGACACTTGTCTAAATGACGCTTTAGGTGAGATGTCCCATTTTTGGAAGCTGCTGAAAGAACCATTTTACAGTGCTTGCACTTGGCTTTTGCATCATTCATATTAGGAGATGGAAATAAATCATACTCATGCCAAACCTTTGAGACCCTTTTCCCAAGCTTAACACTAGGTCCACTACCTTCAAACTCGCTGAACCCAAAATCCATTGAGACAGGTTGCACATCAATTGCTGCACGCTTGGCACACCTTTCCACGTGACGCTTTAAATGAGACGTTCCACTCCTAGGGGTAGCACTAAAAACACCATCACAATGTATGCATTTAGCTTTACCTTCGTTCTTGCTTTCAGTAGGTAACTTCTCGAAATGATCCCAGGCCACTGACCTCTTCTTGTTTCTATTACTACTATCAAATTCAACAAGTCCATTCTTTTGATCTACGACTGCTATTATATTTCCATCCATGGCACCTACACCATTAAAATGGGAATACAACACTAAGTACTAGAAACCACACAGCACTACATTTTAGTCTACATATACTGGAAACATGCTTAAATTGAAAACATACAGTAAATATCCGGTATATAGAAAACGCAAAAACTATGCACAAAATAAAACAAAATCGACATAAAATCAGGCAACATTGCAAAAATCAGATAAATCAGGACATTATCTGATACAATTGCTCTAATTTATATACAACTGATCTACAGCGGTGAAAATCTAAATTTTACTCGCAATGGATCAAATCTCGTCTACATCAGTATAATATATGCCTCCGACTACACCCAATTAAAAATCTCACAAAAGTAAATGAATTTGTGATAAACACATATCCAATACAAACCTAATTGCTCTACTACCGATACATGAAGTCAAAAATACTGAATCATACCAATCAAAGCACACCATAATCATGAATTCAGGAAAATTTAAGAAATGGGTATTACTCAAATCTAACAAAAGCATACTAAAAACGAAGATCAAAGCATCTGATACAAATTGCTGGAAAAAAAATTAGGGTTTTAGAGCATCTTACCTTCAGTAGCCTAAGAGAGAGAAACTAGCGGTGCAAGATGCAAGAATTAATCCCCTAGAACTTGAATTTTTCTGGGAATTGAAGGTTTTTGCGATTAAACCAAGCAAATTTCGAAACTTTTGGTGGGAATTGATGAAATTTCGATTTGGAGGGAAAGGGGTTTTTTTTTTGGAGAGTGCAGTGGACATTTGGAGTTGCAAAATTGGGGATTTTGTGCATTTTACAGTACTATATTCTCATTTTTTAATAACTTTTTTTTTTTTTTTTTTTTTTTACAAGTAACAAAATATTTGGGTAAAGCAAGTTTGTGAATGTAAACTAGACTTGCTTGTCAAATAAAATTTAGGATTGATTAGATAGTCATGAGAAAGTTTCAAAGCCTTTGGTTAGGTGCATCCGTGCATATATACGCCTTTTGAGTCTATAGTCCCTTCGTCTAAAATTAATTGTTTACTTATTGGCTTATCCGTCGTTATCTTTTCATTAATTATATGACAATATTAATTGAATTTGTATAATTATCAACTGATCTTGTTATACCATCTTTTTATATAAATGAAAATATATATATTTGAAATTCAATCATAAACTATTATACTTTTACGAAACTTTATAAATTACTACTATAATGTAAGGTGAATATTAGTTAGGGATCAATCAAGAAACACTGCAAAGGGGAAAAAAAAGGCTGGGGCATTAAACTTTGAAAACACTGTAAGACTAGAGTTTACAGGAAATCAAGAAGTGTCCAATCTTAAAACTCAACATAAAATGAACAAGTTCCTCTAAGAAAAGAAGAAAAAAAATAACATGAACATATAATAGTCACTTAGAATGTTAAAATAAAAGTAGATTACTAACTAAAAAGGGAAAGTAAAATCACAAACATTGTCAACCAAAGATTAAATATGGCTAAGCTTTCAATTCTTCCTCTCAGCAGTATGCAGTTTGAGGGTGTGGCTCTTGCCACTAACATGCTGCTTCAATGAAAATTCATTCATGCACCAAATGTCACACAAATCACAGTACAGTCTAGTCTCGATTTCCATGCTTTGTCCGACTCCTTTGCCTTTCATCGCCTGAGCTTTGTGCTTTTGGCCCATGAAATGCATCCGAAGATTAGGAATAGAAGAGCACTGCACCTCACAAACTTCACAAAATAACTTCCTCACCTTACCATTATTATTGTGACTAGTCTGAAATTGTTGAGTAGGAGTAGGTGCCTCTTTTCTTTTGTGGCTTAAGCCTATAGTGGGCTCAAACCTCTGGCCAGAAGGGGTTGATAGTGAACTGGGCCTTGGACCTGTATTTGGGCCAACGCGTGAGGTCTTTTGCCATGGAAGTGATGGACGTGGGCTTTGAGGTATGCATGGACGTGGGCCTGTTACTACTGACTTCAGCCTTGGGCTTGTCTGAGATGAGAAAATGGGTCTTGGGACTGGGCTTGGGCTTGGGCCTGTATGAGATGTGAAATTTGGCCTTGGGAGTGAACTTGGGCCTGCCAGAGATGAGTAAATGGGCCTTGGGACTGAACTTGGACCTCGAGGCAGGAGTTTGATCGGGTTGTTCATTGTTTTGGGCCATGGTACTGAGAATGAAGAGCCTGGCTTTCGAGTTGAATTAGGTGATGAATTTGCGCTTAGCTTGGGCCTCGGGTTTGGAATTTGGCTTGGCCTTGTCTGAGTTGTCTCTGAAGTTGGCCTTGAAGCTGGCACTGAAGTTGGCTGCAATGCATAGAGATGCTGTTAATCATTTATGTAACAAGTATAATCATGCAAAGTTAATGAGTCAGATTTGGCAAAATCATGTCTGAATTAACCAGTACAACTAACATGAAGTATATGAAAAATAGGTCTCTTACATTAGAAGATGCAGGGACTTGTTTAGCTTCAGTGCTTTTGATCAGCTGCATTAACTCCAAATGTTCTCGATATGCCATCTCCCTCTTAATTGCAAGCTCAGGTGAAATCTCGTACTTACCCCTTGCACTACCCATATTTTAGTTTTCAAAAGACTGTCAAAATCAGGTTACCAGGAAGATATGGAAGAAGAGACTGTTGATATATATAGTTTGAGTGTCTATGAAACTAGTGGGATCACAAAGATGGTGCATATATATTGTTCTGAGGAAGAATATGGAGGTTATTTTAATAACTTTCTTAGTACTACTGAATGGAGGAACTTATTTCTGTTTTTGCTGCTCACAAAGTCATGAACTTATTCCATGTTAATTGTGTGAGTTCAGACTTCAGAGGTATCCTTTGTCCTCCTTGTACTCGAATCAGATATCTTTATCTTACAAAAAAAGTATATGATTGATAAATGGCCAAGATGTTTACATATTTATACAACAGTACAAATGCTAGCTTTTCTAGTGCCTTTGTTCAGTAAAAAGGAGAAAAAATGCCACCAAAATCATGTCATTTGTTTGTCGATAATGAAGGCTCTTGGATGAAGTTCACACTCTTTACAGATCGCAAATGTTAATTAGTTCCTATAATAATTTTAATTTAGTAGAGATTGTCATTAGAATATAAGTTATATGACGATGACATAAACAAGGTGCAAAATCAAAACAGAAGAAAATGAAAAGATATGTACATGGTGCAAATATTCATTTAAGGACAGTTGAACCTTTGATTTCCATAAAAATAGCTTCAATATGCACTGAATTGCATCATAACAGCTAAAAAAGCCATACACAGAAAACAGGCCTACAGTTAAACTATGTTATTCTACCACACTACCAATTATATATTGTATGTCCAAATAACCATATTAACCAATTGAGCAATGGTAATACCCAATCACGACTTGATTTTTTTCCCGGCAGCATGTAGTTTGAGAAAGTGGCTCTTTCCATCAAGATGTAGCCTGAAGGAGTTCTCATCTGTACACCAAATTGCACACAACTCACAGTATTTATGCGGTTTTACACCCTGCTGTGACACGACACCTGCAGAAACTTTCTTACTGTTTGCATCTCGCTGTTTGGCCTTGTGCTTGTGACCCTTGAAGTGCATCCTGAGATTGAACTCGCTAGTGCAGTCAACATCACAAAGCTCGCAGTAATATTTTTCTGCTTCAACTTGCTGATGGATTGGTTTCTTCCTCTTCAGATGACCATGATAATGAATAGCACCTGGTTTCAGTCGAGGGCCTTGAAATGGAGGTGGCCTCAGAAGTGGTCTTGAGCCAGTAATTGGTCCATGATGCTGCAAGTAAGGTCTTGGCTGCAGAGTTTGCACAGGTCTAGGTCCAAAATATGGGCGTGGAGTAGGATTGTTGGTGGGCGCCACAGTCAGTCCTGGACTTACATTTGGAGTAGGCTGTAGAATTGCCCTTGGAGTGTGGCCAGAAGTTGGTGCTAACACCTGCTTGATACTCGAACAAAAGATATCTAATTAAGCTCAAAAACACTCTAGTCAACCAGAAAAAGTGATTGATCAGCAGAGTAAAGAACTCGAGTTGCTATGTTTGTTTCTCTAGAAATCAACTATTCAGGGCAACTACTAAATCTCTGAAAACAAGCATAACCATTTACTTCAATCTGACATCTTTCATAAAATTATACTACTGTTGTTTGAAGTAATGAAGTATATGTTTCACTTAGATGCAAACTAACATATAATTGATAAGAGTTGGTAATTATAAATTAATCTCATCATACCCAATGTGCCAACAGGTAATTAAGCTGAATGTCATAAATAATTGTATAGTCAATATCTTACACATCAAATGTACGCCAAATACCCCATTTGATCTGATATTAATAGTTACATATACTACTCCACATTAAATTAATACGTCTATTAAGCAAGTATTCAACATTTGAAATTTTTGGTTAAAGTTATGTGGATACTTCTGATATTTAAAAATTATGACCTTAACCCATGCTTTAAAGACATAAAACAACTAGTCAAGTCGAAAACCTAAGCATAACCCTTGTTAATGAAGCATAATAACTAATTTTGTTCCTTCTATTTTCAAGCACTCCATGTAATCTAACATGAAGAAATACCCTTGTTAATGAAGCATAATAACGAATTCAGGTTCAGTTATCACGTTACTAGTTCAAATCACACTATCAACACGTAAATATTAACTTCGGACCGAAAGGAATAAATTGTTACCTTAGGAGGCAGGGGGTCATTCCTGGAAAACATATTAGTACTATTAAGTCTTCCTTCAGCTCTGAGCTTTTCCCTGTATGCCATTTCTCTTTTCATTGCAAAATCTACCGACATCACATAATTTTTCCTATCAGCTGCCATTTTTCTCTCTAATATTCCTGCAATATTTAAAACTAAAACGAACATCAAATTATCATTCCATTTTACTGAATATTAACAATACCCTTCAACAATATTATTGCAACAACCCAAAAAAAGGCAAAGATGCACCCTTTTTTTAAATCATACATTCATACAATGCACAATATTGGCAAAAAAAACTCTAAAGTTTGGAACTTTAACTTTCTAAACATAAGGATACAACCACAAATCAAACAAATGAAAAAAAAAAAGTGATTTTGATTTACTATTATCAGAAAGTTTATAACTTTGATGCATGTAACACACATTTTCCGCAGAAAAAAACATGAAAAATGGTAGTAACATTTATGGAGCTGTTAAGAAATTTTCTTACCTTATAACATTTATACTTGATGAAAAGCCTGATTTATGAACATAATGGATTGAAGATTCAGAAACTTAGGTTTTTTCTTATTTTGGTGGAAATTACAGTATGATGAAATTTGAGTGTGTTTGATGGTTTTTTTTTGGGGAGACTATTAGTTTCAGCAATGAGAATTGAGAAGGCATAGTGGCTTTCTTAGATTCTATGGTACAATTGTGAGGGCATTCTAGTCTTTTCACTAGATGGATTTGTACTGTAGTAAAAAACTTGAATTTCATGTTAAATTTTTATCATCCCAACAAATCAAACATATTGGACCAACTCACCACCATTTAAACACAAAAAAAGTTTTTTTATTTAGAAAGGAAGGGGAGAGAAGCTTGGATGTAGATGAGACGTGTCGAGTTCATAACAGGTATAAAAACCTTTTCCGCTCATAAGAAACAATTGGAAATGCGGGTGGAAAATAAGGGGTGGTTTGAGTAATATAGGGAAAAAAAATAGAGGATTAATTGGAGCGTTTGGTGAAAAGTCTATCATAATAAGAGGCTTTTATGAGAGCAATGTGCAAGTGTTGCCATGTCAATCAAATGTTTCTTAATATCAATCAAATGTCTTTGTACAGTTATAATTGAAGAGTGTAATACTTGTGAAAATGCCATGTTTTCTAAGAGCACATAAGTTTTTCTATTTTGATGGTCGTCACTGAAACCAAAGACATGAAGAACTGAAAGCACCATGAAGTGTGCAACCGAAAAAAAGTTTACAAGACATTATGTGCAACGTGCATATTGTATGACTCTAGTTGTATAATACAAGTACCAAACAAAACCCCAGCTTTGTAGATGCTACTAAAATATCGAAACAAAAGGCAGTGGACGAATTTATTAATAGAGAAAATTAACCATACATTTCTAGTATCCTGGAAGGAAGATCCATACATTTTCTCAAATGCAGAAAATGCAGCAGAACTTTGATGAATAAAATTCATGAATGAAGGATGAACGACAAACATTTTGTTAGTCCTCCCCTCACCTGATATAAAATGGCATTATTAGAGAGCATTAACTGTCTGATATAATCATACAGTATTATAAGACCATCCTTTTTTTCATCAGCCAATCATACTGTTTGAGAATGTGATTCGTGCAGCTGAAGTGCAGCCTGAAAGTATACTCGTCAGCACACCAGATCCGACACACATCACAGTAGGGTCGTTTCTCATTTTCTCTCGGTGTTGATGATCCAACAGCAACTTCCTTACCCTTTTCACCTCGCACTTTGGCCTTGTGCTTTTGACCCTGGTAGTGTGACAGTAGATTGAAGCCAGTTTTGCAGTCAAGCTGACAAACTTTGCATGTGAAAATTCCCTCTGGAAGAGGTACAGGGCCATTCCGGTGCTGATCAGCAGACCGGGATGGACATGAACTTGGGCTTGGTCTTATATGTGGGGGATATGGATACGGAGAAGGCCTTGCAGGTGGTACTGAACCGTGATTCTGAGGCAAGTAAGCTGAATTCATATTCAAATTCACAGTTGCCCGAGGTGTTCCCCTTGTATCTTGGCTTGAAGTCGGTCTTGGCACCTGCACAAACTAAGTTACTACTCTGATAACTAGCAAAAGTAAAAAGTTCAGCAATCAAGAACAATCTGTAAGAGACTCAGAATTACGAACCTCAGAAACATGTTCACTTTTTACAGTGTGTGTGTGTGTAACAGCACAAAGGAATCCCTCTATATAAGGTAAGGCGGTGTACATTTAGTTCTCCCTAGACTTGCCTAGCTGCAGGATATACACTAGGTGGTGCCATTGGCCAATGTCTTGACGAGTTTCTCACCGAATTGTAGTGGCATTAAGCTCTAAACACTATATATGACTTATCCTTCCTTACCCCCTTCGCGACAACACAATTAGAACACCGATACATTATCTATTTATCTATGTTTGTGACATCTTAAACATGCTTATGCCACAACTTGTAAATTACAGCTGCTGCTGTAATTGCAACAGTCTCCTGACATTAGTATAGCAACAGCACAAGGCTGCTCAATATCCTGCACATTAAACTATGCCAAATTGGCATCAAATGTGAGATAATTATCAAATCTGTTACCACATTTTATGTTTACCAAGTCGATTATAGACCAGAACTCCATTAAAGTTCATTACATATTCGGTTAAAAAAATCGAGTCAATTATCTATTCAAGGTCCTTTCTCATATATTCGGATAAGGGTTAATAAGTTCACATAAGCAGTTTTAAGGTGAAAGAACGAATGTCCTAAGTTATAACCCCCAGTCCCCCACCATATCCCCAATCCCCCACACAAACATAGAATGACACAAGTACTCTACTATTTCAAATTACACAATCGCGATTCAATGTGACAATTAATTCCGGACAAATGAGTAAGCTAATACGAATCATAATCAATCAAAGCCTTAATCCCATAAGTGGGGTCGGCTAATACGAATCATAATAAAGATTGAAAATGAAAAGCAAGAAAATAACCTCTGGTAAGTGAGATTGGGCAGAAACTTTTAATTCCAGCTTTTTCCTGTAATTCATCTCTCTTTGCATTGCAAATTCTACTGACATGAAATGATTCTTTCTGTCAGCTCGGATTGCCATTTCTTGTGTCCCCCTCTTTGATAAACAATCCCAATTATATTTGTGAATTTTCTTCATAAAAATTCAATTGGATCTGCATATTTTCAAATAATCAGCAAAATTAACAAGTTTTTCAATTTTTTACAATGTACAAAATTTGTTCTTTAGAGTCTTACCTCTTTAATAGTGAGTGCATTGACCCAGTTTATTATTGATAAACCAACTACTCACTTACTCAGTACTGAAGTACTGAGTGAGGACTGAGTAGTTGATAGTTCCAATAGGGAAAAAAAAAAAATTAAAAAAAAAATCTTATTTTTATCAATTTTGAGAATTGGTATGTTCCATTTGTCAACATATTATGGCTTGTTTGATATGGAGATTTGATCTACTCATCTACGAAGTACTATAGATGGTAGTGGGTCGTGTCACGTGATGGACCAATTATTAATTCAAAGGAGTGATTAGGCCTATTCGACTCATATGGACATCATGTTAGGCCTAATAGTCGAGGATATATTTTACTAATATTATCTCCGATTTTTTTTAGTTGTACCTTTGAATATTTTATTATTCTCAAATAATATCCTAGAGTTGCAACCAAAAAAAAAATTTGGAGATAATAGTATTTTTGCAGTGCTTATGTTTTTAGTCGAACCTATGGTGTTGGACCGCCAACTTAAAATATAGACTAGTGTCATGTTGGACTATAGCCCATTCTAATACCATAGTTGTGAGAGTAAATCTTAATGATTAAATTTTATTTCATATTTTCATTAGATCTAACTTTTAATTTTTTATAGAGTAATCTAACTTTTAATTATTTTGTCTTTTCACTATGTTATCTCTTTCAACCTTATCAAGGGCAAATAATAGTTGAGTCTAAGGGAAAGATAGCAATAGAGTGAAGAAATGAACAATATCTTAATCAATACTATCATAGTCACATTTGCTTACTTTTTCATGGAATGTTTTTATTATTTTTTTTCTAATTATGTGCATTAACCTAACCAACTAACATAGGTGTGTTTAGTGCTTAAGGTACTAAAAAGTTAGAGAATTATGTTACGTACACTTGACTACAAACACATATGGACTCCCCCCCCCCCCCCCCCTAGATTTTATTTTATTTTTTACCAAATGTAACATTTTAATATACAATTTTGTTCCTATATAAAATAATTTATTCACCTTTAATCAATCAAACCTCGTAATGTTATGTTTTATTTTTCAACCAAACTCTATTTTTTTATATCAACCAAAATCCATTATCTTTTTATTTATTTTTTTAATTAATCATCTCTCCTTGTTGCGCGTGCATTGGCCATATCTTTAATTTAGAAAATGAAGGAGTACTTACATAAAGATTAAACATTTAACTTAGCTTGTATGCCTCATGAATATCCCAAAGTGCTCTGCCTGTATGGTTTTCTGACTAGAATATACTCCTAATCAAGAGAGAAATGGCTAATATATGCACATTTTAGAGCTTACACAAGAGTCCAAGCTCAACCACCTCTCCCTCCCAAGTCCCATTTTTTTAAAAAAAAAAAAAAACAAACAAATTGCAAACATCAGATCAGATGCATATATTTCCTGAGTTCCTGACAACAATTTCAGGCAGCAAAATCCTTAATATACCATGATACAGTATATTCATAATAAGTAATTGTATAAGACAGAAGAAAAACAATTTCTTCCAGTTTTATTAGTGTTATTCTTGAAAACAATGAATTAGATGTGTACAAGAAAAATGATTACATGTAATCCTATGTACTGTATGTACCTATTCTGTGTGTCTGACTGTAAAACCAAAATAGAATCCTCTAAAATTATCAACACTTTTTTTGTAATTCAAAACTGACTTCCTATACATCACAAACTACAGAAACATAATCTAATTCCTTACATATATCTCCTTCATAGCCTAAGATTTTAACCAGCATTGACAATACCTCCTTCATGTTAGGCCGCGCTTGAGGTGCCTCTGAAGTACATTTGATTCCGATGTTTAGCAGTTCTCCCATCTCTGATGCACCTTCATTTTTCCCTGGTCCTACTACGAGCCCCGGGATTGTGGAATGATCTAATCCTAGCTGATTATTTTTACTCATGACTCTTCTTGCCCACTCTAACAGACACTCCTCCCCATCATCTACTGCCCTCCTACCTGTCGCGAGTTCCATGGCTAATACTCCAAAGCTGTAAACATCGCCTTTTGTTGTTGCTTGCCATGTTTGGCTATATTCAGGTGCAACATACCCTACTGTCCCGGCTACTGTGGTTGTGACATGAGTCTCCCCTGCATCAACCATTCTTGCTAGACCGAAATCTGTGACTCTAGCTTTTCCATTTCTGTCTAATAGTACATTGCTTGCTTTGACATCTCTGTGCACTATTGAAGGGTAACACTCATGGTGGAGGAAGACTAAGGCACGAGTTACATCGATTGCAATTTCAACTCGTTTTTTCCATTTTAGCCGTGTTCTATCTGAGATGAGATCCTCTAAGGTCCCCCCTTCCATGTACTCATACACCAGCAATTTGTCAGCCTTATCAAGGCACCAACCATAGAGGTTGACAAGGTTTGGGTGAGGCCAATTGACACCTTGCTGTGTAAGGACTTCCATTTCTGCTCGGAATTCTCGTTCTCCTTCAATGCCTCCTCTCTGTAGCTTCTTGACAGCAACCACTCTTCCATCAGGGAAGACTCCTTTATAAACTGTCGCGTACCCTCCTCTCCCAATCTCTCGATCTTCAGAGAAATTTCCTGTTGCTTTCAGGATATCAGAGTGTGTGAATGCTGTTTTGTCGAACCTAATGACTTTGATGGCATCTGACATCCATGGTGAGGAAGAGCTGCTCGAGCAAGAAGAGCTATCATGCCGACATTGGGTGTCTTTTAAGAGATACAATGATGTTTTCTCTGACGGAGTTTTTACAAAGTTGTAGACTAAGACTGAGAGCACACCACATATTAACAAGACAAGCACCAATATTGCAATGACTAAAGAGGTTGCTATCTTTGCAACTGATCGAACACTGTCAGATCGTACATTATTTTTGGATGAGTTTGTGGGACTTCTGATAAAAGATGGAAGGACTAATTGAGGATCACCAAGGTAGGAGCTCTTCTCAAACGTTGATAGTTGCCCGGTAGAAGGTATTATACCGGAAATGAGTGGATTGAAAGAGATATTGAACTTGTTCATCTCATCCAATTCGTTCAAACTCGTAGGAAAAATACCTGAGAAGTTGTTAAAGGACAAATCAAGATCCTGCAGACACTTGAGGTTTCCAATTTGCATAGGAATTGTGCCTGAGAAATTATTCCTCGAAACGTTTAGAAAAACAAGGGATAATTTCTCAATGTCTGAGGGCAAAGCACCGTTAAAGTTATTATCTGCAAAATGCAGCATGCTAAAGTTCTTCATATTACCGATTTCAGAAGGTAATGCACCAGAAAACCGATTTCCTGTCAGCTGAAGATAGCCTGAAATCTGCAGTGTCTGAACTTTTGAACCGGGTTTGCAAATTGGAAATAGACCATACCCTTTTAGTATCCTGTCCCATACACTTCTACAACTCTTCCTAGTAAGCAGACTGTACACAAAACTAAAAGGCGGGTACTTTTCAGGTATCCATCTTCTCATAGCCAAACACTCCCCTGAGCCAGGAACAAGATTTCCTCGTCTATTTGACTTGAATGTAGGCATAGGATTGCTCCCAATGTTTGTCAGTTCAGTTGGGAGTTTCCCATACAGTTTGTTATTAGCTAAATTCAGCCATAACAAGCTGCTGCAGTTTCCCAACTCAGGTGGAATTTCACCTGTTAAGGAATTATTCGCGAGCATAAGCCAAAGAAGGGAGGTTAACTTCCCCAAACTTGGTGGGATAGAACCAGTTAATCTGTTAAATGAGAGATCAAGGGCTAGAAGCTGATTAAGACTTCCATATTCAGAGGGAATTTTTCCTGTAAAATTGTTATAAGCAAAGTCTAAGAATTGCAAACTAACCATCTTCGAAATCTGAACAGGAAGAGGACCTGAAAAGTTATTGTAACTGAGGTCTAATCTCTGAATGTTAGGCAATCTTAAAATACCAGAAGAATTCAACCCTGTGGTGAAGGAATTCCCATGTAACACCAGAACTTGCAGCTGAGTAACTCTCCCAAGAATCGGCGGTATATCACTGCCAAGAGCATTCCTGCTAAGATCCAGGAACTTCAGATTTCTGCACTGCAGCAGTGTTTCTGGTATCTGCCTTGTGAAGTTATTTCCTCCAAGAATCAACACTCGAAGGCTAGGAATCGACCCGAGAGTATCAGGAACACTCCCAGTGAAATTGTTCCCACCTAAGATCAAGGTAGACAAGTTTTTGCACTTGGAAATTTCATCAGGAAAATTCCCTTTAAAATTATTTTTTGACAAGTCTAAGGTCTCCAAGCTGCAGTTACCCTCAAAAAACTCAGGAACAATCAACCCCGAAAACTCATTCTCCCCAACGTCGAATGCCTTAAGCCTCGCGAAATCAGGCCAGACCTTCCCATTAAAATTATTTGCACTAAGATCAACATACTCCAATTTTGAACACCCTTCAAAACACCCATCAATAGACCCTGTAAAATTATTAGTAGAAATGTTCAAGACCCTCAAGTTGCTACATATTGCAGGGAAACTAGCCCGAATTTCGCCTCCAATATTATTCAATGACAAATCCAACACCTCCAAGCTACTCAACCCAGTTAAATTCAGCTCCCCCTTAAGTGTATTATGTGACAAATTAAGGTGCTTAAGGTTTTTACACCCACTCAAATCACTAGGAATCACACTTAAGGTATTCCCTGATAAGTCAACAGAACTGAGTTCTGACAATCCTGAGAAGTTCCCTGATATCTCCCCATTCAGGATACTCTTCGACAAATCGATTCCGGTGACTCGACGTGTACCGGGATCACAGGCTACACCAGACCAATTACAGTGGTCTGAACTCAACTTATTCCAATCTGCATATTTTCCTCTGTTCACCTTATTCTTTTCTTCCAAAAATGACTTCAAATTCAGCAAAATAACTCTGTCACTTCCTGCTTCCTCAGTTTGAGCATCTGCTTTGGTGATTGTGCCTAATCATTGACATTCATTACTCACAATTCAGTTCATTATTAATAATGTCGGAAAAATCTTTCTCGAAATCCACACCATTATATTTATTTTTTTATCAATATAATATAAAGAACCATATATATAACAAACCCGAAATAATATTTATTATATTACAAAAAAAAAATGAGTAAGACTTGAACGGGTACCTGGAAATATAAGGAAGAGGACAAATAATAGCGGAAT